TTTTTTTTTTTTTGGTGCAGAAGTAGATAAATAGATAGACAGATTGCACTTCTATCTTGCCTTTCTCCCAGAATGGGATCTGGCAGCCTGCAATAATTTTCAAAGATCCAATTAAAACATTAATTTACAAAGGTTAAAAAGGAGGTGTGTTTTCTGCACAAAATACACTGTTTCCCGTGAAGAAAACAAGTTTTCTGAGCAAAAATGTGGGGCTTGGCACAGAAAACAGGTGTATTTTTGCACAGATGAATATCCCTGGAAGACTTCATGAAGTGCAAACAATCTCTGAACTGCTCTGTGTTGTTTTTTTCCCCCCAAAAGGGTTTCCTGAGGGTTGGGAAAATATTTACTTTCAACCAGGAAATGCAAACTAACAGATGTTTTCTTTTCCTACCAAGGAGGCCCTGTGACTCAAAAGGCTGTCTCACCATGCAACAGTGGAAGTTCTGGATTCAAGTCTCACCTCATGCTGGTCACTGGTTGGTGGCATTCCTTCTTGGGCTTCTCAGGCTGGGTGATGTGTCATATTTTGCCTTTGCACACATCTTCCAGTGCATGTAGTATTACAATGCATATGTCTTCTCTCAGGGAGGAAGAAAATCTCAGAGGCAGAGCGGTATGCTTTCCTTGCTTTGCCAAGGAAGGTCTGGATTTTCCCAAAACATCTCTATGCTTATGGAGGAACACAATAGCAAGTCCTTTGGCAGGTCTGTTTGTCCCATTCTGCCATCTTTTTGTCCAGAGGCATGGCTGGTTGTGTGCTCAGACAGGAAGCAAGATCAAAAACTGCAAAATAGAAAGTGTAAGGCAAAGTAGTCAATTGCCTGAAAAACTGCATTTTAAAATGACTGTCTATGATTGCCTATGATTTGGGGGTCATAGATAACACCAGATGAGACTCTGAAGATTTTTCTGTTTCCCTGGTTGCTTCTTTTTAGCTAAGTTCAGACGATGCTCTGTACTGCAGCCAAGGTTGCATTGATAAGGCCACAGCCTTCTTGTACTGTAAACATTTTCTACATAAGACTCCTATGTTCTGAAAACAACGTCTGCTTAGCAAAAAGTGCTGAATATTGTGAAACTAACTGAACTAGAGAGGGAGGAGGGAGTTGTTTTCCTATATGCTTGTAAGATCACTATAAAAGATTCTCATTTTGCTTAATTCAGGGCTCAGCACCTTTGGAAAGTTATTTCCTGCTGATCCCGCTGGTGTTACTTTTTAAATACTTTCTTTACTCCAAGAGGTCTCTCGTCCCATTTTTCTGCAACATAAGGCTGTAGCATTATAGATTAAAACATGCATTTAAAGCCAACATAATTGTTAAAGATGTCCTCTTTCAACATAATTAGATTTTTGTAGTTGTCGTGTATATTAATGATTAATGTAATGTGTTAGCCTTTGGCTACTAATATGTTTCCCATTTCTAACCGGCATTCCCACATCAAGAGAAGTACCATGCATTAGCTCCAAGTCTTGAGAGAGAGCTTCCTTTGTGCCAGCATTCAAACTGCAGCAGGGTCTTTTGAAGAAGGGGACATGGGGGGCAATTTCTCTGGTTTTCACACATGGAAGAGGGCCACATCACCACTGGCATTGCTTCATCACTGCTGTCGTATTTCTTTCCAGATCCTAGCTGTATCAGCCTCTTGGGAACCTAAGCTC